CCCAAAAAAAAAAAAAAAAAAAAAGATTTGTATGTGTGTATTTATTTATTGAGACAGGTTCCCACTCTGTTGCCCAGGCTGGAGTACAGTGGTGCAATCTCGGCTCATCGCAGCCTTGACCTCCTGGGCTCAAGTGATCATCTCACCTCAGGCCCCCAAGTAACTTGGACATGGTGGCACGTGCCACCATGCCTCGCTAATTATTGTATTTTTTTGTAGAGACAAGGCTTTGCCATGTTGCCCAGGCTAGTCTTGAACTCCTAACTCAAGCAATCCACCTGACTCAAGCTTTCCAAAGTGCTGGGATTACAGGCGTGAGCCACTGTGCCTAGGCTTAGTATTAATTCGTTCCTACCTGTACTTTTTGCACTCTGTAATCAGTATATTTTATTTTCAGGGTTCAAACAGTTCGTTGATCCCTGAAAAGCCTATAGGTCCTAGACACTATACCTAATACTAATAAGATGGTTCTTTATAAGTATGCCATAGAAGTCTTTCAAAAAATTTAGATAGTGCTTGAACATGGTTAGGTGTTTACATGGTTGGCAGCAACAGAATATTCTAAATTCATTCATATCCTCATTCAACAAGTTTTAGGGGAATATCAACGATGTGCCAGGCACTGTGGTTGGTGCTGAGTAAAGAGTGAGAACAAAACTGATATGGTCCTGTCTTGGTGGAACTTAAGTCTTTGGGGGAAATGGTAAAATAAGTAAGTATAGCTGGTGATGAGCGCAATCCTTATCCCATAGAGAAAATAATTAGAATAGGAAGGGTAGCCTGTTTTTTATTAGATGGTACTACGGTCTGAATGTTTGTGTCCTCCAGAATTCATATGTTAAAATAAAACCTTCAAGGTTCTGTCCTCTCTGCCAAGCTTCACATCTGATATTTGATTGACTACTTGGCAATTAAGAAGTGGGACATTTGGGAGGTGATTAGGTGATAAGGGCTCCTACCAGACACAGAATCTCTAGTGCTTTGATCTTGGACTCCCCAGCCTCTGGAACTGTGAGCAGTAAGTGTCTTTGTTTATAAATTACAGTAGCCACCCTTATCCACGGTTTCATCTTTTGTGGTTTCAGTAACCTCTAGTCAATGTCAGTCCAAAAATATTAAATAGAAAATTCCAGGGCTGGGCGCGGTGGCTCAAGCCTGTAATCCCAGCACTTTGGGAGGCCAAGGCGGGTGGATCATGAGGTCAAGAGATCGAGACCATCCTGGTCAACATGGTGAAACCCCGTCTCTACTAAAAATACAAAACATTAGCTGGGCATGGTGGCGCGTGCCTGTAATCCCAGCTACTCAGGAGGCTGAGGCAGGAGAATTGCCTGAACCCAGGAGGCGGAGGTTGCGGTGAGCCGAGATCGCGCCATTGCACTCCAGCCTGGGTAACAAGAGCGAAACTCCGTCTCAAAAAAAAAAAAAAAGAAAAAGAAAATTCCAGAAATAATTTGAGAGTTTTAAATTGCACACCATTTTGAGTAGTATGATGAACTCTTGTACCATCCTGCTCTCTCTGGGCCAGGATATGAATCATCCCTTTGTCCTCCGTCTCCACACTGTTGATACTACGTGCTCATTAAGCCCTTCTCAGTTATCAGATATTCTGCTGCAGTATCACAGTGCTTGTGTTCAAGTCAGTCTTATTTTACTTCATAATGGCCCCAAAGCACAAAAGTAGTGATGCTGGTGATTTGGATCTGCCAAAGAGAAGCTTAAGAAGCTGTAAAATGCTTTCTTTAAGTGAAAAGGTGAAAAGTTCTTAAAAGGAAAGAAAAAAAACTATATGCTGAGATTGCTCAGATCTATGGTAAATCTTTTATCCATGAAACTCTGAAGGACAAAAAGAAAATGTGTGCATGATATCTAGAGGGTTTAGTACTAACTGTGGTTTCAGGCATCCACTGAGGGTCTTGGAATGTATCCCCTGAGGATAAGGAAAGAATACTGTACTCAGTCTAGGTATAACCGTCCCTCAGTATTCTTGCAGAACTGGTTCCTGGACACCCTGATACCTGGGTGTCCCTGGTATCTGCAGATGCTCAAGTCCCTGATATGAAATGGTGTATTTGCATATAACTAACGGATGCATATACTTCCATAACCTTTAAATCATCTTTATATTACTCATAATATCTAATACAATTCCTACATATCACTCCATTCACGAGGCTTCAATGTAGTACTTGGCATGCAGCAAATTCGAGTGTTGCTTTTTGGAAAATTGTGTAATTTTTCCCCCAAATTCTTGATCCAACGTTGGCCGAATACCCGAATGTCAAACCCACAGATACAAAGGGCCAACTGTATTTCGTTATAGCAGCCAGAAAGAACTAAGATGGTCAAGGAGGATTTCCCTGAATATGATAGTTTTTTGTCTCAATGTGGTTAGGCCACATTCTCAAGTCATTAGTCAAACACTAATCTAGGTGCTGCTATAAAAGTATTTTGTGGATGTGATTAAAGTCTATAATCAGTTGAGTTTAAAGAGGGGAGATTATCCTAATCTGGGTGGGCCTGATTCAATCAGCTGAAGGCTTTAAGAGCAGAGTTGGGCTCCCCTGAAGAAATTCCTCCTGTGAACAACAGCCTCATCCTCTGCATGAGAGTTCCAGCTTAGTCTACAGATTACGGAGTTGCTTAGCTGGGCCCTCACAATCATGTAAGCCAATTCCTTACAACAAACCTCTTGATAGGTATCTCCTACTAGTTCTGCTTCTCTGGTTGAAAACTGAGTATGTGACATCTGAGACATAAAGGGTCAGAAGGTGTTTGTGTAGGGGCAAGTGGAAGCAGTTGGGGGTGGAGAGTCAGCTTTGCTTTTTGGAGAATGAGGGTGTGATTGAACAGAGAAAGAGGAAGAGGAACACGAAATGAGAGACGAGAGAAGTAGGCAGTCACTGGATCTAGCAGAGATAGGTTATTGGAAAGCAGTTTGGATTTTAAGAGGTAGGGGAAATAAAATCACTGAATTTGGCTCTTAGTTTTTTTTTTTATTATACATTATAGAAAACAAACAAACAGAGATGGGATCTTGCTGTGTTGACCAGGCTCGTCTCCAATTCTTGGCCTCAAGCAATCCTCCCATCTCGGCCTTCCAAAGTGCTGGGATTACGGGTGTGAGCCACTGCGCCCGGCCTCAATTTTTCTTTTAAAGGATGATTTTGACTACAAGAGAACGACTTGGATCAGGATTGGGGGTGGGAGATGAGGGGGTGTGATTTCAGAGGCCAAGAATGGAAGGAGCGAACAATAGGGAGAGACACATCGGCTGAGGTTAGAGAGATGGTAGGGTTGACAGTGTAAAGTGTAAGCAGGAGACCCGAGCTAGGACCAGCAAAACTTGCAGGTCTATTACAGATGTAGGAGTGAGGAGTGCCAGGGTTACTCTTGAGTGTCCAGCTTGAGCAACTGGGCAAATGGTGTGGATCAAAAACGAGCAGTTTGGAGGGAGGACGGGAATGCTAATGGAAAGTCCCGTTCTGGAAGTTTTAGGTTTGATATGACTCTGAGTGGAGGTGTTAAGTAGTCTACGGAATATCAGGTGTGAAGATCTGCAGAGAGGGCAGAGCCAGAGACATTCATTTGAGAGCAAGCAGGTGGAGGGCACTTAACCTATGAGGAGGATGCGCTCATATAGAGCGAGACAAGGGCCAGGAGGAGCCCTAATGTGTAGAGAAAGGCAGAGGCTGAAAAGGAGCATCCGCGAGGTCAGAGGAATACCTTTAGGATGTGATCACGCCTATGGAAGGGAGTGAGTAAAAATGAGGGCATAATAACGCGCGTTTGATGGCAATAAACAGCTTCTTTTCTTTTATCAGAAATACGGTCTAGCTTTGTAGCCCAGGCTGGAGTGCAGTGGCGTGGGCACGGCTCTCTGCAGCTTCACTGGGTTCAAGCGATCCTCTCGAGTAGCTGGGGGTACAGGGGCCGGCCACCAAGTCAGGCTTTTTTTTTTTTTTTTTTTTTTAAGGGAGCGAGGGTCTCACTAGTTACCCAGGCTAGTCTCGCACTCCTGGCCTCGAGCGATCCTCCTGCCTCGGCCCTTCGGCCCCCCAGAGTGCTGGCCTGCGCCCGGCCAACCGCTATTCCGAACTAGCGTCTACAGACTCCAGGACAGGGCAGCAATCCGCGGGCGGCCCCGCACCGCCACTACTCACAGTACTGTGCGCCCAGACTCGACGCAAACAACAGCCGCTAGCTTCCCTGGCCCCGCCCCCAGGGTCCTCTGCCCCACCCCGGCTCCACCCCCCTCCCAACTCTGCCAGGCTCTCCAATCGCATGTGGAATTATCGCTCTACCCAGGCGGTGGTGTAGATCTCCGCTGCAATTGGGGCCGTACGATGGCGGAGAAGACTCAAAAGAGGTGGGTCTGCTGTCTGAGAAAAGCCCTTTCTCTCCTCTCCGTAGGGGTGGAACCTGTTTCTGCTCGCCAATGGTGGCGTCTCAGAGGGTGTCTCATCCTGGACCCTTCGAGTTGAATGTACCTCAAGCCCAGACCTGGTGTGCGCTGAGGGAGGGGGCGACGGAATGGGGGCTGGGAGGGCTGAGAGGGGACGCGGAGTCGCGGGCTGGAAGGATTTTGTTCCCATCTTGCTGTCCCTCTCCGCACGCGCCTGCGCAGAAGGGGGTACCCCGGCGGGGCTGCGAGGGGAGGGTGACGTCAGCCCTTTCCTGGGGCGCAGGGGGAAGCTAGGCCCCTTCTGCCGCATAATCTGCGATGCTTGGCGCGGCTGTACACACGGTTTAGCGCTGGATTCTCTGCTGCGTGTTGTGAGACCCCCACGCCAGTGCTGGCCACACCCCAGGCCCTTCCTGTCTTTGGAGGGCGGGGTGTGTGAAGGGATTTACGGTCGCTGTCAAAAGTGGGGGCCACGCCTGGCCTTGAACGGTCACACACACACACACAAACACATACACATTAAGATGCAGAGAGTACATGCGCAGATTTGTTGCATGGATATACTGTGTAATGGTGAAGTTTGGGCATCACCCAAATAGTGAACATGGTACCCGATGGGTAATTTTTCGGCCTTCACACCCCTCCTACCCTCGCCGCTTTTAGAGTCCCCAGTGTCTGTTATTTCCTTCTTTATGTCCATGTGTACTCATTTTAGCTCCCAGGTAAAAAGTGAGAACATGCGCATTTGATTTTCTGAGTTATTTCATAAGATAATGGCCTCCAGTTTCATCCATGTTGTTGCAAAAGACATGATTCCTTTCTTTTTTATGGCTCTGTAGTATTCCATAGTCTAGATACAGCATATTTCCTTTATCCAGTCATCCGTTGATGGACACTTAGGTTGATTCCATACTTTAGTATTGTGAATAGTGCAGTGATAATCATAGGAGTGCAGTTGTCTTTTTTTTTTTTTTTTTTTTGAGACGGAGTTTCACTCATGTTACGCATGCTGGAGTGCAATGGCGCGATCTCGGCTCACCGCAACCTCCGCCTCCTGGGTTCAGGCAATTCTCCTGCCTCAGCCTCCTGAGTAGCTGGGATTACAGGCACGCGCCACCATGCCCAGCTAATTTTCTTTGAGTAGATCCTGGGTCGAATGGTAGTTCCATTCGGATTGGTAGTTCTGTATGGATTTCTGGGTCCAATGGTACTTCTATCTTGAGTCCTTTGAGAAGTCACCTTACTATTTTCAACAGATGAACTAATTTACATTCCCACCAACAGTGTATAAGCTTAGAACTGTGACGTTTTTTGCCAGGCGTCGAGTGGACAAGCTCCTTTGTAAACATGTGGGGACGGGAATTGTGGCTGCTTCTCTAGCAGTTTTCATTGCTGGGGCTGTTGGTGGCTGTTGGTGGCTGGAATGAGCCAAGTGCATAAGTAAAGCCCTTTCGAACAGCAGAAGTGTTGAGCTCCCTCTGCTGACTCTTTTTGACAAAGAAAACTCATTGTTTCTGGTGCCGTAAATTAAAATTTAGATTTTTCTTCCACGTAAGCAGATAATCTGTAATCTTTTTTTGTAAGCTAAAGAGGAACAGATGGACTATAAATATTACGTGCAGTAGATAATATTTACAGTGAAGATGAAGGTATTGTTGATTTGTTACTTTAACAGATCTGAGGTTAAGTCTTGCCCTCCCATCTGCCTGCTCCCCTCTGTCCCCACCACTCCGAGATACAGAGAGGTCCTTGCAGAGATATTGGGACCACGTTTTAGTTGGCCTAGTGATGAATTAATTCTTCCCTGCCCCACTGAGAAGTGTGCTGATTGTGACGCAAGCATTACCTGGGATCTCTCCCTTGGGATCTCTCCCTTGGTGTAAAACTGAAGGCAGGGGGCGCTTGTGAGTCTCTCCTACTCACTATTGCCCAGGACAAGTTAAATGTTAGATAATGCTCTTTTCATAATGAGAAGGAAGCTGAGAAAATGGAAAATTGTAATGAGAAATAAGGTCTAAAACAAGAAACATTTTATAGAGGCCAATTTATTTGACCAGGGCTTAATAAAATTGCATATTTTAACGCAAAAACCCACTTTAAATGAAAAGTATCAGAGAAATGACATTTATAGATGGTGATACATTCAAGGACAGTGTCATTCATTTATTATGGAAAAACATTTGGAGTGACAGGATGTTTCCAGAAGAGTTTCAACTAGAAGAGAGATGACTGATTTCAGGACAGCAGTGCCCCAGGAATGAACTCTGCTCGAAGAAATTTCTAGTTTCTGAATTTCAGTTTCTTCTTCCATAAAATGAGAGGGTTAGACCAGGTGATTTTCTGCTTTTACTAAAATTTTTATTTCTTCTACTTTGTTCTAATCTTACTAAAATCTTTCTCCTCTGATACAGTAAGAGGGTTACATATTTTCTGTGATTTCAACAGATTGACTTTTTTTTTTTTTTTGAGATGGAGTCACTCAGGCTGGAATGCAGTGAAATCTTTGCACCATTCCTGGTTCCTTTTTTTTTTTTTTAATGGAGTCTTGCTCTGTTGCCCAGGCTGGAGTGCAGTGATGTGATCTCAGCTTACTACAACCTCTGCCTCCCAGATTCAAGCAATCATCCTGCCTCAGCCTCTGGAGTAGCTGGGACTACAGGCGCCCACCACCACACCCGGCTAATTTTTGTATTTTTAGTAGAGACAGGGTTTCACTATGTTGTCCAGGCTTGTCTCAAACTCCTGACCTCAAGTGATCTGCCCACCTCAGCCTCCCAAAGTGTTGAGATTACAGGCCTGAGCCACTGCACCTGGCCTAGACTGACTCTTGACAGGCTATATCACCCAGAAGGACCACTAGTAGGATTTCATTGACTTACACCTTGTAAAAAGTCAGAGCCTGACAAAATGATGGAAAATGCTGGAGTGATATCTGTTCTCACAACCATTTCTTGAAGATAGACTCGGGAATCATTTGTTTTTTTCTATTTGATACATTTTTTTCTTAGAGCTTTAAAAATACATTGCAGTACGAAGGTTTCTCCACTCTAATTTGTGGAAGAAAAAATTGTGTGTGTCTTCTTATAGTTCATCACACCTCTAGGGAAGTTGGTACAATCTTAAAAATAGTTTTTGTCTAATAGTTTTCATCTTACTTTGCATGTATATTAAGGAATACTTGAGGGGAGATTCTGGCATAGAAATGGTGGAGAGACATGTTAATGAAAGAACCTTTACCCTTCTGACTCTCAGAGCTGTATTTTTAGAACTCTCTCATGAGCTTCAGAATCTGTATTTTCAGTTGCTTATTGGGCATATCTGGTGACTATTTCATAGATACCTCAGACTGAATTTATCTAAAATTTAGTCAATTGACTTCTCTCTCTGAAATCTACCCCTCCTCCCATATGCTATTCTCATATGGTGCTGTTAGTTTTCCAGATCAGAAACCTAGAGGCTTTGACCTTGCTCCCCAACTCCTGACTTTTGGTTAGCTTTCTTTTTGTTTTCTTCTTTCTTTTTTGAGGCAGGGTTTCACTCCATCACCCAGGCTGGAATGCAGTGTATGATCTTGGCTCACTGCAACCTCTGCCTCCTGTCTGGGCTCAAGTGATCCTCCTACCTCAGCCCCCTAAGTAGCTGGGAGTACAGGCGCCATGCCTGGCTAATTTTTGTATTTTTTGTAGAGATGAGGTTTCACCATGTGGCCCAGGCTTGTTTTGGTTGGTTTTCTGGCATAAATGAAGTTGAGTCAAAGCAGCTGATTTTGAGCCCTGGAATTTGAGCTTCCCTCTCCATCTGGAATCGTCCCTTCCCAGGAAGGGGACAAGATGGCACCAGTTTCCTTATTTTACTCCATGAGCCTCACCCCCATCCCTCTGTAGTTGATATGATTTGACTGTGTCCCAACCCAAATCTCATCTTGAATTGTAGTTCCCATAATTCCCATGTGTCGTGGGAGGGACCAGGTTGAGATAATTAAATTATGGGGCCATTTCCCCATCCTGTTCTCATGATAATGAATTAGTTCTCATGAGATCTAATGATTTTATAAAGGGCTTTCCCCTTCATTGGGCACTCATTCTCCTTCCTGCCGCCATGTGAAGAAGGATGTGTTTGCTTCCCTTTCTGCCATGATTGTAGGTTTCCTGAGGCCTCCCCAGGCATGCCGAACTGTGAGTCAATTAAACCTCTTTCCTTTATAAATTACCCAGTCTCAGGTATGTCTTTATTAGCAGCGTGAGAACAGACTAAAATAGGAGTCAAATTTATTTCCCCTGCACAGAGAAGAAAGCAAATATAGTTTGCTTTCCATATCCATAGGTTTCACATCCATGAATTCAACCAACCTCAGATCAAAAATAGGATAAAAAATTGTGTCCGTAAACAATACAGTATAACTACATAGCATCTACATTGTATTAGGTATTAGAAATTGTCTACAGATGACAAAGTATGAGAGGATATATATAGGTTTTATGCAAATACTGTAGCATTTTATATCAGAGACTTGAACATTTGAGGATTGGTCCTGGAACCAGTCTCCCACAGATACTGGATACTGAGGAATGCAGCTGTACACACTTTGTGGTCCATAGGGCCTGTAAGAAGAAATGAGAAGTACCTACCTTCAACATTGCCTAGAAACCAGATTTTTATTAAATGTGTTTGTTGCCATGTCTTGTTTCTGTTTCCTAGACATACCTGCAGCTTTTCCTATGTGCTGCTAGTGTATTTGATATAGTTTGGCTCTGTGTCCCCACCCAAATCTCATCCTGAATTGTAATCACCACCCGTTGAGGGAGGGACCTGTAATCCAAGTATGATTGGATTATGGGAGTGGTTTTCCCCATGCTGTTCTCATGATAGTGAGTGAATTCTCACAAGATCTGATGGTTTTATAAATGGTAGTTTTTCCTGTGCTCTCACTCTCTCTCTGTCCTGCTGCCTTGTGAAGAAGGTACCTGCTTCCCCTTTATCTTCTGCCATGATTGTAAGTTTCCTGAGGCTTCCCCAGTCATGTGGAATTGTGAGTCAATGAAAACTCTTTCCTTTATAAATTACCCATTCTCAGGAAAGTTATTTATAGCAGTGTGAAAACGGACTAATACAGCATTTCAGGCCTGCATTATCTCTGTAGGATTAGACCAACTGCCTCCTTGACGCCCCCCCCCCAAACAAATTTAATAAAACACATCTAATTAAAATCTGGTTTCAAGGCCGGATGTGGTGGCTTACGCCTGTAATCCAAGCACTTTGGAGGCCAAGGCAGGCGGATCACCTGAGGTCGGGAGTTCAAGACCAGCCTGACTAACATGGTGAAACCCCGTCTTAAAAAAAAAAAAAAAATCTGGTTTCTAGGCAATGTCGAAGGTACGTACTTCCCATTCCTTGTTACAGGCCCTGTGGACCACAAAGTGTGTACAGTCGCATCCCTTAGTATCCAGTATCTGTGGGAGATTGGTTCCAGGACCAATCCTTGGATGTTCAAGTACTTCTTCATACAAGTGCCAATTATCTGCGTACCAGTTGGTGATGTTGTTGGCTTGGGAATGGGAATCCTTCAGTGACTGCTTGCCTTGTCATAGTGTACAAGCTTGTTTTCATGGGCTGGTCCTGCTTTTCCTCCCTGCCTTACCTGCTCCCTTTCTCTTCATGACTTTCGTGCTTCTATTCATTCAGTGATATCCAACCTGGTGGGGCAAAAGAGGTTTTTAGTTTGTTGCTTACCAGTCTCTGCCTAGATATATGCATATGGTATTTAAAAATAGATAGAATAGATAAAATTGTGTTTTAGTATTTTTACATAAGCATTCTTGCACAAACATTTACAGTTTTCTTTTCTTTTCTTTTCTTTTTTTGAGATGAAGTCTTACTCTGTCACCCAGGCTACAATATAGTGGCACGATCTCTGCCTCCCAGGTTCAAGCAATTCTCCTGTCTCGGCTTCCTGAGCAGCTGGGATTACAGGCGTCCGGCACCATGTCCAGCTAATTTTTGTATTTTTAGTAGGGATTAGGTTTTGTCATGTTGGCCAGGCTGGTTGGTCTCAAACTCCTGACCTCAAGTGGTCTGCCTACCTCGGCATCCCAAAGTGCTGGGATTGCAGGTATAAGCCACTGTGCCCAGCCCAAAACTACTGTATTTCATATACTGGCAATGAACAATTGGAAATGAAAATTTTGACAAATCCAAACAAAATTACAAAGACAAAATATCTAAAATGTAGTGTTATTTCATAGTAGCTGAGAGCAGATTTAACACCATGAATGTCATTGCCATTTAGAAAAATTCTTTTCTTAATGAAAAGAAGTTTTCTAATAACTATCACCTTAATGGAGAAGTCATTTGATGCAGTTCCTCATGTCAGCTCATGGTTCAGCTGGAGTCAGTGTTTACATAAGCTTTGTCAAACAAAAGGTAACAGCAGAGTATTAAAAACATCAATATGGAAAGCATCAATTATATGGAAATTATTAGAGTCTTTTGAACAATTTGTACTACAATTTATATTACTTGGTAAAAGTTTATTTTATATATGTGCGTGTGTATATATATATGAGAATAAATAGAATTATTTATAAATTTCAAAGTTCTAAGTTAATGTACCTTGCTGGTTGTTAAATAGTTTGAATGTATATTTTCTTCTCCCTGTCTTTACAAAAATAATGGCATATTACATGCTGTCCATTTTCTCACTTGATTTTTTTTTTTTTTTTTTTTTTTTTTTTTTTTAAATTTATTTTTGGGAGATTTTAAAAAAAAAATTTTTTTTTTTTTTTTAAGAAATGAGGTCTCACTATGTTGCCCAGGCTGGTCTTGAATTCCTGGGCTTAAGTACTTCTTCCTTCGCTTCCCAAGTGCTGGGATTACAGGTATGAGCCACTGTGCACAGCCATTCCAAAACCTTGACAAGGGATTATTCATTCTTTTTCATGGCGGTGTAATAGTCCATAGTGTGCCGTAATTTATTAACTAGTCTTACCACTGATGAATATCTAGGTTGTTTTCAGCTTTTTGCTGTTCGGAAACATGCCAGTATTAAAAGAAACAATATAAAACTCTTCTCAGGCATTTTAATAGTATAGCACATGTGATTTGGGATGATGGACAGTATACCAATTGAGAAATTTATGGTCTAATAAAACCTTACCCTCTTACCATTGACTTTCCATTTTTTCCTGTTTTTTTTTTTTTAGAGACAGGGTTTCACCACGTCACCCAGGTTGGTCTCGAACTCCTGAGCTCAGGCAATCCGCTCACCTTGGCCTCCCAAAGTGCTAGGATTACAGGCGTGAGCCACCAAGCCCGGCCCATTCTATCATTTTTTTTAACCCTGTTTTCACTGCACTGTCAGGGTAGCTTCTCCAACAATACTTTTAATCTTACCCCTGGTGTTACCTTTTTCTCGCTGCAGTGTGAAGATTGCTCCTGGAGCTGTTGTGTGTGTAGAAAGTGAGATCAGAGGAGATGTAACTATCGGTAAGAAAATAGTTTATTTACTGTTTCTCAAGAATTTATGTGATTTAATCTATTTTAATGCTTTACAGTTAAATACTGTCTTCCATGTTTATGTCACTGATGTCCTGGTTTTATTGACAAAATAATGTATTTTCTCCTATATGTTTAAAATTTCTAAGAGAATATAGTGTGATGGAGGCTGTGTTTAAACTCCTATCTGAAATACTACTGAGGCTGTATAATAGTCATTCATGGATTTGAGAGAGATCTGTTGTGTCACTGCGATGTGCCAGGCACTGTGCTACTGCTAGGAACGTGACAGTAAGCACAGCAGACAAAGGTGCTGCCTTTGTGGAGCTTCATGGAGAGCGTGGGCCATGGAGTCAGCAGACTTGGGCTAGTTTGCTCTTTGCTCCTTTCTGGCTGGGTTACTTTGGACATATTACTCAACCTCTCTAACCTTGATTTTTTTCCCATCTATATAGTTGTGTATATCAGGATTAGGTTCGGCTGCATGTAGGGGTGGCTTATACCTGCAGAGGTGTATTCTCTCATATAAAAAGTTTCGAGGTAAGTAATGAAGTGCTGATCGGTTGATTGTCCAGCATGGAGCTCCAACCCTGCAGGCCAGGAAGTGATGGCTAGAGCACCAAGCATCATCTTAGATGAGAAAGGGGAAGAGTGGAAGCAAAAGAGTATGTGTCCCAGCTATGAGTCAGCTCCTTTTAAGTAGCCTTCCTGAAAGCACCCCACGACCCTTCTCTGTGTGTCTTATGGCTAAGACAATCTCATGGACACATCAAGCTGCAGGGGAGTTTGGGAGATGCAGTCTTAGCTGGTTGTATTGCAGCCCCTAATAAGATCAGGGTTCTATTACAAGGAAAAAGAGGAGAAGAGATATTGGATGGCAATGAACAATTTTCATAACATGCAAAATAGTAGTATCTATCTCCTACGTTTCTTGAAAGAGAATGTGAGAACTGAGTAGTAAGCTATCAATACATGTTAGCTGTTACCACTGTCAGATCTTCTCATTGTAGCCTGCCAGAGCTCAAGTCCAGCATTTTACGTACATGAACTTGACTAAGTTCCTCAAACGTTTTACTCTGTTCTTTTACCTGGGTATGGTGCCCTTGCAGCTTGACTGGTGTAAGCGTATTCTTAACAGCAGCCACATGTCACCTGGATGCTACCAGACTAGAGCGTTCAGTGAACTATTACACTTTCAGAGAGCAAATACACTTTATTTGCTTAAATGAACAGTTTCTTTAATAGAAAAAAAAACCTGTAACATCTTTTTTTTTTTTTTTTTTTTGAGACGGAATCTTGCTCTGTTGACCAGGCTGGATTACAGTGGTGCGATCTTAGCTTAACACTGCAACCTCTGTCTCCCGGGTTCAAGCAATTCTTCTGCCTCAGCCTCCTGAGTAGCTGGGACTACAGGCACGAGCCACCATGTCCAGCTAATTTGTTTGTATCTTTAGTAGAGATGGAGTTTCACCATATTGGCCAGGCTAGTCTTGATCTCCTGACCTTGTGATCCACCCACCTCAGCCCCCCAGAGTGCTGGGATTACAGGCATGAGCCACCTTACCTGGCCACGTCTTTTTTTTTTTTTTTTTTTTTTTCCCTGAAAAAATCTAAGCCTCCAAACAATTTAGGGATCTTGTCTTATAAAACCAGTGGCGATTGTGCCAGTATTGTGGAACATTGTTAAGAATTTGCCAGGTTGGTTTATTTAATTATTTTAAATGGAGATACTTTAGAAATGTAGAAAACGGCCCTGTTTCTTTTCGGTGCTGTTAACTCTTTGACTTTTTTTTTTTTTTTTTTTTTTTTTTTTCAAAAAATCTATCCTTTTTATTATTTTTGGGGTTTTTCTTTATAAAACAGTGGGGGTTTTTCC